CCCGTCCGGGGTCTCCTCTCATCCGGAGGGATGGACGGCACCGCCGCCGCCTCTTTCCCTCTTCCCCACTTTGGCAGCGCCGCGATGCCGCTCCGAAGGGCGTCGGGTGAGGAGTAGTTGGCCCTGACTGGGGTAGAAAGTAACCCTTCTCTTGCCCGGTCGTGACTGCTTTTCCTCCTCTGCCTCTTTCCATCCCGCAGGCAGAGTCCCCGTCCAAAGAAGTCACCATTCCTTCGCCTGACAAGGAAGACCTGTTGGCGCTCGTGGCCCGGCTCTGGCAGAGGAGGAAGCGGCTGGTGGCCGCTGTTGGGATCACCCTGGCCATGGGCCTCATCCTGCTCATTGCCATTCCAATCCTGATGCAGGCGCCGTCTGCGAGCCGGGCCCACTACGAGATGATGGGCACCTGCCGCATGATCTGCGACCCCTACAGTGCCAGCAGCGTGGCTGCTGGGCCCTCCAGCCATTCTGGGGGCACCGCCGCCCTGGAGGCCCTGCAGGAGCTGAGCGCCAACCCGCCGTCTCCCCTGCCACCATTTTTCCAGGGTCCCAAGGGCGATCCTGGCCGCCCGGGCAAGCCGGGGCCAAGAGGGGCCCCTGGGGAACCAGGGCCGCCGGGCCCTAGGGGTCCCCCCGGAGTGAGGGGTGATTCGGGGAAGCCAGGACTGCCAGGCCTATCGATGTCCCGAATCGGACCACCAGGAGCAGCGACTACAGTTGGAGTAGCCGGATCAGGCGTGAGTGGCAGTAGCAGCCCACCGCCAGGAGGCGAGGTAACTGGCGCGCTGAGTGCTGCCTTCAGTGGCCCCAGAATCGCCTTCTATGTGGGCCTGAAGAGCCCCCACGAGGGCTATGAAGTGCTCAAATTCGACGATGTGGTGACCAACCTGGGCAACCACTATGAGCCCAGCACGGGGAAGTTCACCTGTCAGGTGCGCGGCATCTACTTCTTCACCTACCACATCCTTATGCGCGGCGGTGATGGCACCAGCATGTGGGCAGACCTCTGCAAGAATGGGCAGGTGCGTGCAACCTTAGGCAGACCTGTTGGGCTGGAGCATGGCTGCTGGGTTTAGTTGAAAAGCCATGTGTTTAAATATGCATGAGAGGACGAATCCTCCAGCCTGGCAGAAACTTAGATTGGACACCTATTGAGTGGGGGAAAGGGAAAATTCAGCCACATGGAAAGATGAAATCCACAGGCTTTGCACTTTGGAGTTTCTTCACACATGCATGGCAGAACTTATTTTCAATCTTATTTTCCACTCCAAAACATTTTTTTAAATCAATGCTTGAAAAGCTAGCCTACATCTGTGAAAGAGCTCTGAGAACTCTTTGTCTAAAGGGATCTCAATGGGATTCCAAAATGAGAAAATTTGGCCACTGATGATAGGGAGATTTTGACCCAAGAGATCCCCAAATCACCAATAGGCCAAAAGGGGTACCCAGATCTTAAGAATTCACAATTTTACTCCCTGTAATTTGAAGGCTAAGGCAATTGAAGGAAGGGAGACCAACTTTCCTAATCTTTTTATGCTTCTGAATGGGTAGCTTTATTGAAGGTGTTCCCACAGTCTTGCAGTTTTATCCAAACAAATTCAATTTTTAAGTATTCTGTGCTCTCTCTCCCATTTTTAATTGAGAAGTGCATTTTGCTAAAAAGGGATACTGAGATCAAAGCGCCCTTTCTTAGGTCTTATAATTGATGGTGGCTCACTGAATTGCACAGCTTTGCCCCAAATGAGCTGACATGTTCAAAATGGTGTGAGATCTAAGGGCCATTATCCACACCACTAAAGAAAGGCTGGAGTTCCAGAACTCAGGAATTTTGGAGAGACTTGTGATAGTCCACCCTAGATAGTCCCAGGCCAAAAAAAAAAAAAAAAAGCCTTTGAAATTCTCCCCATCCTTTCTGCAAGTAGTGGTTTGGATCTGTATAGAAAAGCTTTAGAGAAAAATCAGGTTGAAGGGATTCAGAGTAGGTGAGTGTTGGGGGGTGGGGGGATGCCCTTAACCCTTCACCCAGTGCTCACCTATTCTGAGTTCTTTCATGCTGATTTTTCTCTGAAGCCCTTCTATAGAAATTGCCAAATTGCCTCTCCCCATAATATCTTTTTCTTGAGGAAAAAGAAAGGGGAATGTTTGTTAGGGTTTACTTATGTGTGTTAAATGTCACATGTAGTTAGATCTTCAGGAAATTATCTTTACGGTGTGTATGTATGCAGTTGTTCTTCCATCTGGTGAATAATTGAGTCCCTTCTTCCTGCTCTAAATGTCATCTTTGAAGGCCAAGTTCTCCATTCTTATCTTTAATTGTTCTCCTTCCAGTGGAATGAGGGAATGCTACTTAGCAGGAGAACTTCAATTCAAAAAGAGCACTTGCCTAACTCACCATCCAGGGACTTCCTCCCAAAATGGAATCAGTGAGCTTTCACTTTGGAAAGATGGAGGGTTTTAAGCAGGGGGAACATTGTAGCTCTAGTGGCTTTCTTACTTCAGCAGGGCTTGGATTAGGAAAGCTTTAAAGTTCCTTTCAATATTGTAGTAGAATTTTTAATAACTGCACTGTAATTGCACACACCTTTCTTTTCACTACCATCCTTTATGTTTGTGAATTCAGACAAAAGGTTGTTCTCGGTTTGCACCTAATTGGGGCACAAACATGCCCTGACAAACATCTTTTTTTTCCTTCCCTGAAGTATTCTGGAGACATTGCCTTCATCTTGTCTGCAACCTATGATGAATTAGGCTTAACCAAATCAGTGTTAATGTCGTCTTTTCCCCATTGTCAACACTGTCCAAGGATAGGATCAAGATATGCCACATCTGTAAGGCTTGGTCATGCATTACCTTGGAGAGAAGTCAGAGACATTAGTGGCAGGGTAAGGACTGGCAGTGGAAATTTCGAAGCTGGTACAATTTCTGCTGACTCAAGACTGGGTGGAAAGCAGTTCAACTCATCGGTGGGAAAAGTTCTTCAGGCTTTTTTTATAAAGTCCTTTGCTTGTTCAGATCTTCGCCTCCAAAGTGGGGGTGGAGGCTTACTCACACGAGGGAAGGGAAGGACCCTGTGGCATAGGTTCCTTTCCACCAAAATAAAGCACTTCAGACTTAAAGCTATTTTAACAATGAATGTTTATTGCTTAATGTCCATGACATGCATGCAATGGCAACCAAGAGAGCAGGATTGTGGTTTTTTTGAGAGGGGGGGTATTTCTTGATGCTACCTAAGAGACAATTCTTTATTTAAGAGGCAGTTACATATCCAGTTAAGAATCAGCAAAGGCTGGAATACATGGCACATTTGCCACAAGAACATAGGAAAAGTGGCCATTCATTAATGAACATATCTTATTCTGGTAGCAACATTTAGGAACAGTTCCTGCAGGATTGTGATGATTATATCTATGGCTCTACTATGTCATGTCCTTGGTAGTAAGAAAAATCACACTAGGATGTCAGTGGTCCCTGTTTGTTTAATATTCTGCTTTTTCTCCTGGAATTCAAGGCAGCTTACAGTACATGGGTTTCTCCATTTTATTTCTACAACAGCAACCCTGCGGGAAGGCTGAATTGAGAGAGATTGATGGATGGCTCATTTACTACTGTTTGTAGAAGAGTGCAGATGGATAATGTGTGTAGAGTCAGGTTGATGCTGAAGCTGTCAGAAAGGGCCCCATATCTTTTTCTAATAAATTGAGCATTTGTGGTCAATTTACTTATTTATTAATTACAAATGTTTTATGCTGCTGTGGTAAAACACAAATACATAAAAGAATCTAAACAAATGTAACCCTTTATCACATGATGATGCAACTGCATAAACTTGCACCTCTGAACATAGAGAAGAGTCTTTATATAGCCACTAGCCAAATCAGACAGGGGAACCACCATCACCAATTATTAGAATTTTAGATTTACTGCTCTTCTTTGCTGGGATTCTACTCTCTGATAGAGAGCCTAAATTTGACTTGATCAGGGCTGTAAGTATAATTGCATGATGATGACGATGATGATGATGATGATGATGATGATGATGGCAGCGGCCTGGAACCCATCAGTCAATACCCTAAAGTCTTGCGGTGATAAATTCTCTGTCCTGAATCCAGTCCTTTGGACTCCACAGTGCAACTGAAGGAAAGAAAGCATTATTGGCTTGGAAGGCAGGGGAAGCTATTCACTTATAAATGAGGATGCAGGGTATGCTCTAGACTGAAAGGGAAACATTTATTTTCTCACCATGCCAGGGACTATCACTTCAGTTGAAAGCCTGAGATCAGTCAGTATCTTCTTTTTTGATCACCAAGAATTTATTTCCTAGAACATTTTTAATATTAAAGTTTTTGCGGGTTTTAAAATTAATTTGTGGATTGAGGGCCACAAGCTTGGACACTTTGAAAAGGGATTGCACTGAACCCATGGTGGATGCCACTATCAATAAATATTAATCATCATGGCTATATAGTATAAATAGTATGAGAGCAGTATACTTCTCCACACTAGTTGCCAGGGTTATGAGCGGAGAATAAAAATATTATTGCCCTAGTTGAACTATCTTCGACATAGCCCAGCAGTGCTCTTCTAATGTCATCGCAATACTCTCTGTTTTATAATTTTTCTAAGACATCATCTCTCAGTCATGGGAGATCCTAAAAATGCTGATTGTAACAATTTTGGTGCTTCTCGATTATCTTTACCAATCAGTGCTCTTAAAACTTTAATTTTCATAAGGTTTCTTTGTCCCATTATCACTAGCTTCTCTTTTTATGCAGTGCCATGCCCTGGGTTAGTGGTCCTGGGTCATTGTAATGGAATATGTATATGGTTCTGTGATCCAAGAATGAAAAAATCTCATCAACTTTTTTATACCCACAAATCCTTTCCATATAGGGGACAGGGGGAAAAAGGATATTCCCTCCATTTTTAGTCATGTCCTAGAGGTTTATAGAATAGACCTGTGGTTTATTCTATGGCTTTATCTGTTTTGAAGGCAGATTCCCACTAATTCTTTTCCAGCACTATGGATAGCTCCCTAGAGCCCACCAGGCAGGGAGCATATGTAGACTGTGGTAAAACCAATGAATAACGCTCATTCTCAAAATCTCAGGCTTCTCTTATGCTTGTACACCAGGTAAATGCTTAGAGGTAAAAGGAAAACCCCTACTGTATTTGTCTAATAAATTATAGTTGTTTCTGACCATGATTTAGCAGACAGTATTTGGTAGATAGAGAGTCAGTTTGGTGCAGTGGTTAAAGGCATTAGGCTAGAAACAGGGAGACTGGGTTTTCTAGTTACTCTCAGCCTAGGAAGAAGGCAAGAGCAAACCACTTCCAAAAATGCTGTCAGGAAAACTGCATAGACCTGTCCAGGCAGTTGCTAGGAGTCAAGACTGACTTGAAGGCACACATCACACACACACAAATTAGTAGGTAACAAAGAATCCTATATATATATGTGGTTGGCCCCTAAATAGATGTGACTCCCCTGGGGATTATTATATGTATCCATTCAAATACTGTCCCCTGATAATTTGCTGTGACACTTTTATGATAGGAATTATGGCCTTTTTTAGCACTAGGTAGACTAGATCAGATTTTACAGGATGATGGAAATTAGGGGTGCAGACTGCATTAGTTTTCCGGGAGGAAAGAAAACTCACCACATAATGGTTTGTGCCATTAAGCAATTATGGTGGATGTGCGCTTATGTGCATATGAGGAGGTGTAGAGAATGAAATTTGGGGAACTGAAAAGTGATGAACAAGGTGGATATAAATGAAGGAGGAGGATAAAAAGCACACGAGAGAAGATCAAGAAAAAGAGATTGTCATGATGGTGTTGAGTCCCACAGTTGCTTTGATGCATAGTCAAGGTGGTTCTAGAAATGGCAAAAAAGATAAGTGTTTTCACCGTATTAATGCTACATTGCTGTGAAATTTTATGGATTCTTTATGAATAATTGCAAAAGAAATGTAACAGTTCAAACTAAAGAAGTAAAAGGCTAACTAAGGAATTGTCCTGGAACTAGAGAAGTGCTTTTGCACATCTGTCTCCAACTTTGCTCAGAGGAGTAACAGCTACCAACTAATTTGTACTTAAATGTATACAAAAGTGGGGTATGATATGCAATTTGCATTATTACAATTCTCATAAATGGGATCATTTGATCAAGCAGCAGGAAAACTTTAAAATAAATCATTCATAATACATCTTCAAAATAAGTAATGTCCAATTGTAAATGAACTGAATGGATTGGGAGCATGAAGGAAGGAAGGAAAAAGTAAAAGTAAAAAGAGGAAAGACAGATTAACCGAAAGAGAAAATTGGGAAAGCCCTTGGAAGGTCCAAAGGTGATGGGGTGGTAGAGAAGTGATGGGGCTGAAAAAGGAGGAGCAAACAGATGGGAAAGGGGGAAAAAAGCTGGCTTGGGGAAGTAGGCTGTGAAAAAAAGGGCTTGGAGAAGTTAGAAAATCTTTGTCATTGGAGGCTTTAAGAAAGAAACAGGATGGGTTGCAAAAGCACAAGTGAAAAAATACTTTCCTGCAAAGAGGCTAAACTGTATGTCTTCTACTGTCACATTCAGTGTTCTTTTTCAGAAGGCTGATTAAGGGAAAAAAGAATATGTATGCATGATGGAAATGACTATTAATAGGAATGAACAAGGAGCAAATCCTAAGAAACAGGCTAGAGGATAAAAAGGAGTAAAAGGAGGGGGAGGCTGTGATGGAAATGAAATAGATTTGAGTAAGAGACAAGGGTAAATGGAGTGGATTCATATGAAGGGAGGAATCTGATGCAAAGGGGTAGCTCTGGAAGAAGTGTTCATCTTAGGAACCCTTTTTGGATCTTGTTCAAACTCTTAGGCTTTATTTGAGCGTCCTTTAAATTTGCCTTGCTGGGACATCTCACTGCCTTACTAATCATTGGTTTTGCCAGTGGAGAAAAATACCCTCAGGTTCACTTGCCAGGACTTGCATATAAGGGGTGATGATCCGATGGCAGGGAAAAGAGAGAATGAAGTGTGCATGGGTAAATGAATGCAAAGTAGTAGTAAAACAAGATGGTTTGGGGGATTTCTAGGACAGAGATCTGAACCCCTCTTCCTTCTTGGCATGATGTACTTTGCAGGTGCGAGCTAGTGCCATCGCTCAGGACGCAGACCAGAATTATGACTACGCCAGCAACAGTGTCGTGCTTCACCTGGACTCGGGAGATGAAGTCTATGTCAAACTGGATGGAGGCAAAGCCCATGGAGGCAACAACAATAAATACAGCACTTTCTCTGGCTTTCTTTTATATCCTGATTGACAGCCAAGCATCCGTGCTGTAGTCCATTGCCTTGCCCCCGCCATGCCTTCTCTTGGGGTCTGCTCTTCAGGTCATGTCATATTGCAAACTGTATTGTACCTTGATTGCCATTTGAAAGAGAGACAGTGACATCCTTCTAGCCACTGGTGTATGTTTCTCTGTGTTCTGTTGCTCACTAAAAACTGTGAGATGAGACGAGTTGGTCAGAAAGGATTCTTAGGGTAATCAGCACCAGGGATTGGTCCACTCATGGATCATAGATTTAAAACGTGTGCTTAGAGTCCCACTGTCTGTGGTGAAATGGGCAGTCTAGCACCAATAAGACCCTGGTTGTAAAAATTATTTATATATGATTCCTTGATCCAGGTAGAGTCTCAGAAACAGCATCACTTTTGCCAATGCCATTTACTCATGAAAATGTGTAGCCCCTTTTAAGTAAGTAGCCTTGCTTCAAAATCAGTGCTGGGATTCAACAATATCTGGTTTTTGCTGATTGATTAGATACAAAAATTGCACTGCACACAAATCTGAGTGTCTGGCCCATCAGCATGTCAAGAAGTCTCAAATTTAGCTCTCCAAATTCACAAGAGTCTTGCTGCCTGAAATTCCATTCTCTTATTGGAAAGATTTTAGTGATTAAACTTCCAACTTCTTATGGACAAAGCAAGTGCTTTGCTATCAAGTTATAAGGCCTTCTTTGATTAAACAAGTGGTTCAGAAACAATTGACCTCTGAACCCTCCTTTAATCGCTGTATATTGCAGTCATCTGCTTCAGCCCAATCTAGCACATTAGGTATGTTTGAAAGAGTCCAAGGCAAAAATCATGATAGGCAAAGTAGAAAGGGGTGAATCCTTGCCCTTTTTTTTTCTTTATTACTTGGAGAATAGGAGAGAATTCCTGTTTCTAGACAGCTTTGTATATAGGGAATGTGAACATAATCACTTTGGTTTTATATATGTATGAACATGTATATATGTTTATGTTTATATATTACTGATATCATCCACCCATGTGCAATGCAAATCTTGTGTGGGTGATGATGTTAAAAAAAGGTAATCTTCTGTCTCTAAGTGAATGAAGAAAAGTGAAAAAAAGGAAATCTCATATTAAATTATCTTTTTTGAGAAGGGTTTTCTGCTGTGTTCCTATTGTGGGGTTGTAGAAGGGAAAGGGGAGCAGCTGGGGGAAGGGGAGTGAGGCTTCCTTAATTTTTCATGGCATACATATTTGACAGTGTGGCCCAAAACATCAAAGGGCTGTTTTGCTTTAATGGTGTTTGGGGCAAAGGGCCCCTGGGAAGCAGTGTAGGCCCTTGCTTCTAAAAAGCAAAGCGAAGGTGCTGCATTGCTTTGCTTCACTTCACATTGTTTCTGGGGGCTCCTTTGGCACATCTGCTAGAAACATGGTCTGACTTGAAATAGAAAATAGCAGCAGTGGTGCAGTTAGGTAATTTTAGCCTCCAAATGCCGTGGCCTTCATCTGGTGCTAACGTGCATTATTTCCCTTTTCAAAACTTGGTAAGCTGCTGGGTTACATTTCAGGCCCTCCTCCTCATTCTGCTGAGGAGGACTCCAAATGTCAGACCCACCACTTTGTCCTATCTTATTTATTTATAAGGCCACCCAACTCACAATGATTCTGGGTGGCGTACAAATTAAAAACATACCTAATACCATAAAAAAAAGGAGAGAAATCAATAATCTAGGGACCAACATAGCCAACACATTCATACAATTTCCTTAGAAGGCATATACTCCCCTCTCCCAGCACCTGAAGAAAGAGTCAGGACTTCAGGGCCCTTTTGAAGGATAGCAGGGGCACGGTACTTGAATTTCTTTTTTTTGGGGGGGGGGGAGATACTATTCCAGAGGGCAGGTGCTGCAACAGAGAATGGATATTTCCTTGGTCCCATCAAATGACATGTTTTAAAGATGGGACAGGGAGCATGTCCACTCCGTTGGATCTTATGGAATGTGCAGAAACAATGAGAGAGAGGCAATTCCTCAAATAATGCCATGAAGTGCTTCATAGATCATAACCAGCCCCTTGAATTGTACCTGGGAGTTTGCTGGTAACCAGTGCAGTTTGGGCAGCAGAGGGGCTGCATGAGCATAGCAAAGTACTCTCATAATTGCCTGTGCCACTGTATTTTGGAGCAGCTGCAACTTATTCAGACATGTAGGAGGAGAGATGGTAGGAATCTGGAGGCAGGCCACTCATGGAGAAAGAGAGTCAATGCTTGAAATGGATTCCATCTACCAGTTTTCAGCTTTCAGCCTCAATGTCAATGGTCAGGTTGAACCTGAGGCCTCTGACTTGCAGGGTGCCACTGGGCTTGACACTCTTGCCCCTCTGCTTAATATCTATGTGAAGTCACTGGATGAGGTAATTCACTGCCATGCGATCAGTTATATATCTTGACTATGGATCAACAAAGTGATGCTGTCAAGGTCTTGTCTTCAAAGTCTTGGAGACTGTTGAGGTCTAGATGGAAAGGAACAGAATTAAACTCAACCCTGACAAAACCAAGTAGTTGTGTGCTTCTAGTTCTTCTGGACCTGGAGTCTTCTTATAATCACTCACACTTTAATTACCTTGTGTGTGTACTATTGCAATGCACTATATAGGGCTGCCCTTGAAGACCACTCAGAAGCTGAATCTATTGAACAATGGTATTCCTATTTAATAGAGACAAAGAAAAGCGTTTTCCTTGTGAATAAGGTCACTGAATTCAATGGGGTGTTTATCAGACACTGAACACATTGGATTGCACTTTAAGTCCATCAAAAATTATGCTTTGGGGTAATTTACTATGTTAGGGAAAGCATGGCAAAATCAAGCTTGTGTGGATCATCACAGCTATAAAGAACAAGAAGTGACTTCTTTCATTAGCCCATTCTTCTGTCCACATTTATAGTAGCTGTAATGATATTGCTCACAAAATATGCTTACTCAGAAGCACCGACGTTCTGTTTTGCAGTGGATTTTTGTTTTAATCCTTTTGTAGTTAAAACCAGGTTGAAACACCTGTGAACAACCTCTGGTAAGCTGTAATTTTCTTGTAAAAGGCTTCCTGATAGTTGTTATGAAATAGACATGCAAAGAATGAAATAGATGCACTTTTGCACACAATGACGTATATTTCTTTCCTTCCTTGTTTTCTTGCCCTATGTGCAAAAGAGTTATATTTATATATAAATATATGAAAGACACATTTATTTGGATGCAGCAACACTTGTATTTTTTGTCTCCACAGCAGCTTTGTGAAGTGGGCAAGGCTAAGGGGAAATAAAAGAGCCAACATTCAGAAAAGCCCGTCCTGAGTGGAGATTAGTACTTGGGTGTCCTTGGTCTAATTCGTATACTCTGATCCAGCCTTCCTCAAAGTAGCATTGCATAACTGGATTGCACAACCTCCTGACTATTGTGGTATGAGTAATAGTCCAACACAAGTGGCAAGCACTGGGCAAGGGAAGGTGTGTTTAATCATTACAAACACAGCTCCTTGGCTGTGTTCACACATCACACATCACATGCTAAGCTTGGTTGGGTTTAACCTTTTGAATCTGGGGGTGGCTTAGGGTGTATCGTGAACACAGCCCATTTGGTTCATTATGGTTCAGTATCATGAGTGACCCTAGAAACAGGTTTATTTTTCAAGTAGGGTGTGGTATATGAGCAGGGCTCTCGATCTTAAGTTTCTTTTGGGGATCTTTCTTATCTGAATTTCTTTTTTTTAAATTTGTCTCATGATTCTTCCAAGCTTTCCATTTCAAAGTGAAGTGAAAGTTAAAGCAGTTTTGTTTTATTGCTTCATTTGTTTCATTGCTATTCATGCAATGCCCGGGAGAATCAGCTCTCTTTATTCCCAGAGGGGCATCACAGTTTCATAAGCACCTCTTGATCTTTCATGGAGTCATTACCACAGTATGTATGTCTGTATGTCTGTATGTCTGTATGTGTGTATGTGTACTATATGTGTGTGTGTATGTGTGTTTGTGTGTGGAATACTGTTCTTCTTAGATCTATATCAAGGATATGCAACCTGATGATTATATGCCATCAAGTTGGCATCGACTCTTAGCAACCACATAATAGTCATTTCCAGGATAACCTTTCCCCAACCTGATTCTTCAGTTCTTCCAACAGTGCACCCATTGCTGATATAAACTGAGCCCATCCATCTTGTTGTCATACACATTTTTATCTTTCCTTCTACCTTTTCCAGAATTATAGACTTCTCAAGAGAGTTAATCTTTCCATAATGTGTTCAAAATATAATAATTTGAGCCTGGTCATCTGTGCCTTGAGTGAGCCCTCTGGATTGATTTATTTGATGATCCGTTTGTTTTTTCTTGGCTATTCTCAGGAGTCTTCTCCAAAACCAGTGTTCAAAAGCATCAGTACTCTTTCTATTCTGTTCCAACTTTTGTACCAGGGAAAACCATTCCCTGCATGATCTTGATCTTTGTAGGCACATCACAGCATTTGAGTATCTTTTTTCAATGTTTTCATTGGTACCCTACCAAGTGCTAGTCTGTGATAAACTGTATTTCTTTTCTTTTTAATGTGAAACTTTATTATAAACATACAGTAACTTTACATTCTTCAAGGTGATAGTAAAGATTATACAGTAGAGACAGAAAAGTGAGATAGTGAAACAAAGTAAAAAAAAAAAGAATAATATCATACTTATCTTTATACTCAGAGGGTTCCAATTTTTTAGCAGACTTTGTCTTATAATAGGTCCCTTCAATTTTTTTTTCTTTTGTTTTTTTATACCATAAATTCCTGTGAAGTCATTGGCGAAACTGGCTCCTTCTAAAATTGATATTCTGCTATTTGGAGATTTTATCCATGCTGTTATCCATGATAAACAACTTGCTTAATAATATACATTAAGATTAGGAAAAGTAAGTCTACCTCTTCCTTTTGAATCTTGTAAAATTTGGAATCTTAAGTCTTGTTTTTCCCTCTACTCCATTTGAATTTGTTAAT